AGCAATTGTGATTACTGTGGTCCCCGTATATTGTTAGAACTTATTCTGACCTGTCTGCTGCAGTGAACTAGGTTTTTTTCTGGTCCCAGTAACAAGATGTGCTTGTTCCATTGATCATTTCAATTACCCAGTGAACATTTACACAGTATCACTATCTGTCATGCTATTGAGTCAGTTCCCCACTGCTACCATGGAATGAATGGCCTCACCTCTTTTGAACCATTGTCTTATTTGTATCAAAATCCAACTTGATCTTATCCAGACATACTCTTTGTTATCCACCTGATAAATAAAAGGCAGTTTGGCAGAGAGAGAGAGAGCCAGTCAAACTCATGTAAGCTGTCACATTAAGAAAGGCATGAAGAGGCTCGGCGCCTGTGGCTCAAGCGGCTAAGGCGCCAGCCACATACATCTAAGGTGATGGGTTCGAATCCCCAGCCCGGGCCCGCCAAACAACAATGATGGCTACAACCAAAAAATGGCCAGGGGGTTGTGGCGGGCGCCTGTAGTCCCAGCTACTTGGGAGGCTGAGGCAGGAGACTCGCTTGAGCCCAGGAGTTGGAGGTTGCTGTGAGCATGATGCCATGGCACTCTACCCAGGGGGACAGCTTGAGGCTCCGTCTCAAAAAAAAAAAAAAAAAAGAAAGAAAGACATGAAGAAACACAAGAGACCATTCTAGAGAGTTTGCTATAGAAATGAAAAAGAAAATGTGATCAAGAGATTGGTTAACTGGTCATCTCTAAAGAGGGGAACTGAATGTTTGGTAAGAAGGTAGAAAGGAAACTCATGTTTCAGATGATACCTTTTTGTATTTTTTGGATTTTGTGCTGGATATATGTGTTACTGCTTTTAAAATGAAAAGTGATGATTTGTCAAAAGAAGATTCATTCTAAAAATTGAAAGAAAAGAACAGATAGGATTGAAAGCAGTATGACCATAGAATTAAAGAGATGAGAGATTAAACCCTGGAGGACCCAAGAAGTTTTTTCAAATAGCCACTTGTATCTTTTTTGCATAAACCAGATGCCAGGTCCGTCAATCCTCTTTGTTGATAAATAACTATGGTATTCTTTTCAAAGAATGCACTGTTTTTCTGATTTAAACTTGGTACCTTTGTACCAACAACCCACAAGTATAAAATTCAATCAATAGAAATCTATACTTCCACATGTCCACTCACAAAATTTCCTGAGAATTTTCTTTATAAAGAAAAAAAAAGACAGCTAGCAAGAGGCCTATGGGAATACGCATATGAAAGAGATGATGATCATTCAAGTCATTAATAATTTGGTTTAGTCATATGTTGCATATGACTGTTTAGTTGACTGTTTCAAAGTTTACATTATTTAATCTAATTTGAAATAAATGTGGAAGAAAGAAAATTTGTATATGTTTGTACTCATGGG